TGATTTGTAACCAATATAACCAGCCATATAAATAGGTACCAAATCAGTAAAAATCACTACATATGCACTACATATGATTGAATATGCATTCATACGAGCAAACGGCGACTTATGAAAGTGTTTTGATTAAGAAAATTGATCCTGAGGCATGAAAAAGAGGGCATAAATACGCGAATGAAAAATCTAGTACATCATCCTCAAATGAACACCTGACAATAAAAATAATTATAATAGACAACTGTACCTTCGAACGTGTACCTTCACATAAATGAGCACATATATAAATCAAAAGAATTCATAAGTAGCCATAAGTAGCGAAATTAATGACTATCTACAAAACATTAATTAGACCAGCAATAACCTATGGTTGTAAGACCTGGGTAATGACCAAGAGATGAAGAGAAACTCAAGACATTCGAGAGAAAGATACTGCGAAAAGTATACGGTACAGTGCAAGAGGAAGGTGCACATGGAGAATCAGGAGAAACGACGTATTGTTTGTTAAAAGTCAGATATTGTCATGGCGGGGACACGTCAAGAGTCAAGAAGACAAAAAATCGACAAAGAAAATATCCAATGGAAACCGATATGAAGACGAAGAAAGAAAGACCCAGAACGAGATGGTTAGAGCACGTGGATGACGACCTGAAAACTACTTATAAAGAATTTTAACATTAAAGAGCCCCAAGATAAATATTTTAAATTAGGGTACCATTGAATAAAAAATTTAACACCCTAAAATGATGTGTCACTTGATTCACTCTTACAGGTAACTTTCACCTTAGCTGGAGGGCTACAAATAACCTCTAAAAGTACACCCTTGAAAATTGTTAAAAAAATTAATAATAAATAAAAAAATAATCATTATTATGATTTTTTCTTATTATTAACGGGAATGAATATATTTACGAAGGGAAGTTTTCTCACCCTGTATACTTCTTGTGATAGAAAATCTAGAAAAAGATTTTATTTATAAATATATAGAATTCAGGAAGATGACAACAAATCTCAGTACAATAATTAATAATGATATTTATAGAAACTAGACTACATTCGAGCATGCACGTTTGCCAAATTATAATGAGCTAATATATTCTATAAATATGAACTTACAAAATGAATGCGTTATTTCAAAACCCAACAGGTCACTCGGCTCATAGAGATTCTTTAGTGTTTTACCGAAGTAATAAAAAATATCGACTATGAAGTTTGATCCGGAGCTAATGTTTGAATGTTTGATATACATAAATGCCCACTATTTCCCAGTTTTTGCTGTAAGTGAGATAGCAATGCTTGTAGCAAAACATTTAAGTGATAAAAAAGATACTCCAAATTTAGATCAGGATGCAGCAGTTTGTTTAACACGACATGTTTGTGAATTAATGAAACTTGTAATGTTTCAAAGGTTTAAATATACACATAAAAGTAAGTATTGTTTAAACAGTGATGAGTTATGAAACGATATTAAATTTATTACGATAATTACAACAAAATGCGTTTCTTTGAACAATAACATTTTTCAGGAATATCACTTTTGATTTATTTTGGTTTTATTCGTTTTTTTATTCTATTGTTTTTAGTAATTTTTGGACTTATTTTAATCATTTTAGAATATCTTCTTTTGTGCATTTTAAAACCCAGATATGTCTAAAAATTACTGTAAAAAATTTGTAAATATTTTTCTCAGAATTTATGCATTACATATATAAGTTAACAAAACATATTTATCGTTAAAACACAATACTTATGAAAAATAAGTAAAAAAATTCTTCTTTTTCTTCTTCTAATGGCGCTATTACCCTTTGTGAGTCTTGGCCTGCTTAACACTGTTCTTCCATTCTGCCCTGTCGGATACATTCCTTCGTCACTGCCTGATGTTCATGGTTTTAAGATTCCTCTCTACGTCGTCTAACCATCTTTTAAGGGACCTTCCTCTTGTTCTGTTTCCTTGAGGCTTCCATCTCTGGACTAATTTTAAAGCTCTATTATCTGGCATTCTTTCTAGGTGACCAAGCCAGTTTAGTCATTGTGACTTTACAAATCTAACAATATCTGCGCTCTGCATTAGTTCATCCAGCTCCTGGTTCATTTTAATTCCAGTTCTCCACGAACCATCGCTGCATTGGGTTGGTCCAAATATCTTCCTTAGTATTTTGCGCTCAAATATTCTCAGTTGATTTTCATCGGTGGTTGAGAGGGTCCACGTTTCACATCTATATGTGACTACTGATCTAATTACTGTTTTGTAAATTCTAAGCTTCTGACTCACGGTTCAGTAACTTACTTTTCATTAGGTCTTTATATACATAAAAGCACTTATTACCGCTAAGAATCCGTGGTTGTATTTCTTGACTGATGTTGTTGTCATGTATTATTGAGACTAGGTAGGGAAAAGTGGAGGCATATTTGTAGGTATGGTTTTCTACTTTCAGATTCTCATGTTGATTCGTTTTTGTGCACTCCATATATTTTGTTTTGCTTTCATTTATATATAGACCAAACGCAGCAGCTTCTCGTTTCAGTTCTATAACTTTTTCGCTTAATACCCTTTTGTTTGGTGCTATTATGGTAACATCATAAGCATATACACATATTTGCATTGATCTTGTATTAATATAGACGTTTATATCCAGTTTTCTAACAACAGCTTCTAAAGTTAGATTAAAAAGTGTTGTTGATAAGGCATCACCTTGTCTAACTCCATTTTCAATATCAAAGGCCTGCGTCATATTTCCATCTATTCTCACCATAGCTTTGGAAACCTCCAGAGTCATTTGTATAAGTTTAACTAACTTATTGGGTATCTCTAACATAGATAGTTGCTTTAACATCTTTTGTCGATCTACTCCATTAAACGCCTGTTTGAAATCGATATACAAGTTGTAAATAGGTATATTATATTCAACAAATTTTTCATGTATACCTCTTAACATATGTATTTGGTCTATAGTTGACCTCTTTGGTCTGAAGCCACATTGGTATTCACCAACCATCTGGTCCGAAAATGATTCCAGGCAGCTGTATATAATTCCTGATAATATCTTGTATACGACATTTAAAACTGTTATGCCCCTATAGTTTTTGCAGAGTCGTTTGTCTCCCCTTTGTATATAGGAAGTATGATTCCTACTTTTCAATCTTATGGGATGACTTTTAGTGTCCATCTGCGGTCGATTAGTTTATGGATACGCCTCCATAGCGCATGTCCACCATTCTTTATCAGTTCTGCAGTTATTACATCTGTGCCAGGTGCTTTGTTATTTTTTAGATGTTTTATGACGTTTATCGTTTCTTCCAATGTTGGTTGCTCAACTAGTTGTTCTGCTGTGTGGTGAATTAATTCTTCGTCTTCTTTTTGTTCTTTTTCTGGGTTTAAAAGCTCTTGAAAATGCTCATTCCACTTTCAGAATTTATGCATTACATATACAGGGTGTTTCAAAAAGGTATGTCATAAATTAAATCACGCATTCCGGGGACAAAAATAAATTGATTGAATCCAACTTACCTTAGTACAAAAGTGTACACAAAAAAGTTGCAGCCCTTTAAAGTTACAAAATAAAAATTGTTTTTTTGCATTATCTCCTAAACTACTTGACATTTTGTAATAAAAATGGACACGTTACTTTCTTGTTCTGAAAGCATTTTTCATACATAAGAAACAACACAATCTAAGAGCACAGAAAAATTTTAAGGGGGGTGTGCAGCCCTAAATCCGTCCAAAATTTTGAGTACGTTCAAATCAAATATATTATTTTAAAAACTTTTTTGCCTCTTGTCATTTTTTTCAAAAAAAAAGGAAAACCGAATGCGCTGAAAAATCATATTTTTCTGACGAAATGGATTTGCAGCTTCAATTATTCTAACCGTACTTTACCCTGCTTTTTCACTTTCACTCACTTATAGCATGTGTGTAAAGTGTACACGTTAGCTAGTAGTACTATAGGTATAATGTATTAGAGCCTAAGGAATATTGCTGAATATAACCTTAGATAAGTTTCTTGTAATATTTATATATAGAACTAACTTGCTTATTGATCATAGTGAATGATCAGATAGCAATAGTCATAAGATTCCTGTTGGAGTTTTATTAAACAAAAAAAATTATTCTAACCCTCAATTGTTGTTCGTCCTCTATTGTTACAGAATACACTTTTTCTTTCATAAACCCCCAAAAGTAAAAGTTCACGGGGTTAAGACCTGGACTTCTGGGTGGCCAAGAAATAGGTGCGTCACGACCCCTTCCAATCCACCTACCAGGATACTGCCTTTAAAGGTATTCCCGGACTTCATTATTGTAACGCGGTGAAGTGCCATCTTGTAGAAACCACATATTTTGCCTTATTGTAATATTCACTTCTTCCAAATACTCTTGTAAATCGTTTGCCAAGAACTGCAAAGAATTATCACCATTTAAATTGTTGGGAAGAAATACTGTGCTCATTAAATTGTTATCTGCAATTCCTACCCAAACATTAATTTTGAAAGACCTTTGGTGATGAGTCGTTTTTTTGGCGTGAGGATTTTCGTCGGCCCAAATGTGCTTATGATGGTTTGTTATTCCATTTCTACTGAAGGTAGCCTCGTTGGTAAACAAAATATTTCTAATAAAATTAACATTTCGAGTGTTTTCCATTAACAACCAATCACAAAATCCAATCCTTTTAGGATAATCTTCAACCAATAATTCTTAAGGCTGATTTATAAACTTTACGTTAGCGTTGGCACTGGCGCTGACGTTCGCGTTACAACATAGTCAAATGGAAAACTCGTATGTCTATTTATAAACATCGTTCGCCGTTGGCGTCGGCGTTCGGTTCTGTTGTGATCTTTAACGCCAACGCCAACCGAAAGTTTATAAATGCAGTGTATGGTAGCTAGCGCCAAGGTCAACGGCGAACGCCAGCGCCTACGCCAACGTAAAGTTTATAAATCGGCCTTTAAACCGTTATTAAGTGATAAGGTTTAAGCAGCCGATCCTTCAAACGCCTCCAAAACCTTACGTGAGGAACATTTAGTTATTACCCTTGCACTTGTTCCCGGGACTTCTTCAATGATTTCTAAAATGTCTTCATCAGTTGCATCCATTATTGGATGGCCACTATTGCCTCCAACTTGCGGTTGGAATGTACCCGTTTCCCTTAAACGACGATCAATGGTCAGAAATAATCGTCTATCGGCTGTATTTCGATTGGAGTATACTCCATAACGCCTTGCGGCTGCTGCACTATTTCCTTGACATTCACCTACGATATTCCCGATAGTTTATTGAAATAATAATTTAATCTGATCCAACTTACCCAAAGTTAAATGCATATCTGTCATTTCCTGAAATGTGTAGGCCCTTGTAATACCAAAATTTTTAATATCAATCTTGTTCACACAATAAATGATAGCTTTAAATGATTGACTATTAATGATGGAACTGTTTGTAATTACTGTATCCGTAGAAACTAATTTTATGGCCAACTAGGAAAAAACTAAATTTTCGAAAAAGTGATAGGAGGCAAAAAATTTTTAAAAATAATGTGTTAAACTAATGATGCCACAAAATTTATTTGATTTGAATGTACTAAAAATTTGGAGGGATTTAGGGCTGCACATCCCACTTAAAAAAAATTCTGTGCGCTTAGATTTTGTGGTTTTTTTTTATGAAAAATGCTTTTAGAACAAGAAAGTAACGTGTCCATTTTTATTACAAAATGTCAAGTAGTTTAGGAGATAATGTAAAAAAAAAATTTATTTTGTAACTTCAAAGGGCTGTAACTTTTTTTGTGTACACTTTTGTAGTAAGGTAAGTTGGATTCAATCAATTTATTTTTGTTCCCCGGAATGCGTGATTTAATTTATGACATACCTTTTTGAAACACCCTGTATATGTTAACAAAACATATTTATCGTTAAAACACAATATTTATGAAAAATAAGTAAAAAAAATAGTGTACAAAATATGGTACACCAAGCATATAAAATACAACTAAGTTTGGGTAAAGTATGAAACAAAACACTTGACACGTAAGCCTAAGTTGCATTTAGAACCACTAATTTTTGTTCTGTTATGGCACAAACCACATCGAGTTGGTATTTCCCCCCGAGGAATCCCCAAAATAGTCTAGTCGGCTATAGCGAATACTGACGTTTTCATTGGCCTATCAACGACCTCGAGAATAGGAAGCAGGTTTCTTATTTTGTTGTAACAAATATGTTTGCAATGCGTCTTTTAAATAAAAACTGATCCAATTTTGTAGGTAAATAAGGGTCTTAAATTGATTGTTAGCATCTCTTCCACGTTACCAAAATATTCACCTACGAGGAATGTTGACATAACCACTCAATATTAGAGTTCCCAGAAAAACTTTGACCTCATACTCCCAAATTCCTTTTTTTTGTGTAGCACATCGATTAGTTTCTCACGTTATAAGTTCCTCATCAAAGAAAAGTGACAACAATTCAAGCGGACTCTTATAGTCATATTGTGGAAGTTGTTCAAAAGAATATCAATGCTACATTGATCTTCATTCTGGTCTTCTATTACCCACTAGTAAATTTTTCCCCTATACCCACTACCCACCTCTGCTTTTTTCTCTTAACTCTGATAATAGAACGTCATCTTGAGAATTGGGTAACAATGTGTCATTGTCATTATTTTGCTCATTTATTTTATCAGGAGCTTGTAATTGCGAACCAGGTAAATTATACTCCACCATTATGTATCCATTACCAGATTCCTCGTTTGTTAGGTCATTAGATACATCACATGTATTTACTGGAGGCACCAAAGTAATACTATCTACAATTGATACTGAATTTTTAAGGTCCTCTCAAATTCTAAGCGCACCCCCCACTAAAAAGTCCATTAAAATAAATAGTTTGGTATTTCCCTTGCGTGCAATATTGAGTACACTAAAAAGAAATAGCCCAACGCTAGTTTTCTTTGACTTCTACAAATATTTTAAATCATTATTCAAAATCATATATCAAAATTAGCCAAATCGATCCAGTCATTCTCAAGTTCTTATAAAAAAATAAAATTACTATTGTTTTGTCATTTTATTTTTATAAGATATTATTTATGTATATTGTGTGTCGTCAATTCTTAAAAGCTGATATCGAAAAATGCTTTAAACCGTTTCCTAGATAGTAAGGGGAACTAAAATCATATGAAAGAGAACTCACCCCCATCTTCCCACTAGGTCCCACCCACCACAACCAAAAAAGTTTAAAATGCAAACCCCTACTTGTGACACATCATTGAGAAGACTACAAAAAATACTATCCAATGGTATAAATCATAATTATACAGGGTGAAACAATAATAATTGTGAAAATTTGGCTTGAACGGAAAATTTAATGAGGTTTTTGTTGTTTCTGTTGATTAACGTGTATACTTATTATTGTTTAAGAATTGTAATTGGTATTGCATATTACTATTGCATTGTAATACTATCTTCCGGACAATTATTTTTAATTATCAGTGCCCGTCGGAATTTTTTTTGTCAAATAAAAACTTAGTTTGCCGTTTTTGCAAAATAAGTTGAAAACATCTGTTTTTTGGATTCTGTCAGATTCAATAATTTTTGGTTTATTTGAGAACTTTAAATGCCATTAGTGTTCATCATTTGTACGATTGGTACTGTTATTCAGCTGTAGTTGTTACGATGGTTTACCTATACCTGAACGCGTGGAGATCATTTTTTATTTGCCTCCAAGAACCAGTGTTATTTACGAACAGCTCAAATATTTCATGAAAGGCATCCTGACAAAAATGTAAGTCACGTGTACGTCTGCGATTTAGTTAAAAAGTTTAGAGAATTCGGGATTATTGCAAAATAAAAAAAGGGATGCCCCAAGATTACTGAATGAAGCATTAAAAATTGAGGTCCTTGGAAATTTCGCAATAGAGCCTACTGCATCAACACGTCAAGTATCTGCAATAACGGGACTTTTACATGAGTCGGTTAGAAAGATGTTGAAATAACATAAGTTTCACCCGTACAAAACACAAATTTTTCAAGAACTAGGCGATGATGATCCAGACCGACGAATTGTGTAAACTCATGATTGAAAGAATTGACTGAACCGAGAATGTTAAAAATATTTGTGTCACTGACGAATGTACTTTTATGATGAATGGTATTGTAAATAAACTGAATTACTAAATATGTAAATAAACAAAACTATCGAGTTAATAGGTACTTAAGTAATGTTTATTTTAAAAATCTCCTTGTAAATCAGCATATCGAATCTCCGGCTAAGGGCTGGTGAATGAACTTAATTTTAATGACTCTCGTCTGAGAATGTAGGGTATCGAATATCATATAAAGAGTATATTCAATTTGTTTAGAGTTAGATTTAGTCGAATTTATACCACCGACCGAAGGAAACTGAATAAAACTTTTAATGTCACATTTGTGTATCTTAATACGAAAGTAATTTTTGTTTTAGAAATTTAATTTTGTATTTTTTCGAACCAGGAGTCTCTTGCGATAATTAATCGTAGGACATTCCAATCGTAACAAAACTGTCGGTACTGGAGTGATGCTAACCAGCATAGATTGAGAGAAGGTCACACTGAATATCCTGAAAAACTGAATATTTGGGCAGAAATATTAGGCGATGCTCTAATTGAGCCCTTGTGTATACCTGGCATTTTAAGTGGTGACATTTATCTCGATATGCTGGAAAACACCATCGAACATTTAATTAAGCATGAATTAGAGAACCATAGAGACAATCAAGGCAACCTAGCTCTTGATGAGGATTTGCTGCACTTCCAGCAAGATGGAGCACTCCTCACTATGCAGCTCCAGTTAGGCACTGGTTGGATACTAATTATTCGAACAAATGGATTGGAAGAAGAGATCCTATTGAGTAGACACCGAGGTCACCAGAGTTACCGTCACCCGAATTAGCGGAGAATAAAAATAGGCAGTATTATTGTTTAAAAACAACGGAACCCACTTTTAAACATTTAGCTAATTGACATTTTTAACAAATTTGTAGTTCAACAAAAACCTCATTAAATTTTCCATTTAAGCCAAAGTTTCACAATTATTGATTCACCCTGTATTATTATTATTTAAACCATTGGATAGCATTATTTATAGTCTTTTTAATGATGTATCAAAAGTAGTGTTTTGCAATTAAAATTTTTTTGGCTGTGGTGGGTGGGGCCTAGGGGGTTCATGGGGGTGAGTACTCTTTCATGTCATTTTAGTTTTCCCTTACTATCCTAGAAACGAGTCCAAGCCACGTTAAACGAGCAAGTGACGACAATTAGAGACGAATCGGACGAAGAACAAATCATCAAACATATTACAGAAATAGTGAAAAATATAAAGGGTAAATACTTAAAGGCAGATAGATTATTGAAAAAAATAAGCATGACATAGGTGAGCGGTTTACCCCTCAAAAGACGCTTACAAACAGAAGATACCTACTAAATTTTTTTTGCATTTCTAATGCACGAAACCATTTTTATTCGATTCTATATATTTTTCCAAGATGAAATGTATTTTTTTTTAATTTTTACAAATGGGCCGGCAATTGTTATTAACAAATAACTTATACACAAAAGCAATTTCACCTAATTGCTTCGGAATCAATTTTTTTAGGGGTATCTCATCAAAATAAACACTTTTTCTCTCTTGATAATTTTTCTAAAAATGCTTCCTTTTCGAGTTATTTGCATTTTTTTGTTGAAAAAATGCCTTAATTAGTGATTTTGGGATTTTTTTTTCTAAAAAACTACTAAATGAATTGCAATTCTACAAATAGCTTTATAATCTTGAAACCGTCGAGTGCAAGTTAGAATATTTTGACAAGGATAATTTTTTTCTATCTTGCTAAAAACATGGACCCAAATATTTTGAATATGCCTTTCGAGCAGTCTACCGCTAAGTGTGTACAGCGGTTGCGGCGATACAGGCGTGCGGCGCGTAGAAATATTTGTTAAAATTTAAAAATTTAATTTAATACAAATATTACGTACAATTTATTAAAAAAAAGATATTTATAATTATTTATATATAGACATATTATAATTAAAACAATTAAAATTAATTTTTTACAATGCAATAATGTAATTTTTCTTTTAATATACGTGGTGACTCTGTTATTGAATGTTTTATTACATTGAAATACATTAAGCAATATATAATCAATTTTCATTGAAAAATATAATATTATTTATACATCATTTTCATTGTCAATAATTTGAAAATTTTCGTTAACAGCAACAGGATTTCCATCTAATAAGCTGATTTCATTGTCTTCAATAAAGTCGTCTTTGTACATACTGCGCAGCATTCTAAATTATAGGAAATACAATTACAATTTTTCGTAGAACATTTTCCGGTACATGAGCAGAAATACTTTTGTAAAATATCTAAACTAGTTTCGCCTTCAAAATAATTAAAATCGAAACAATTATTTTCCATTGTCCAACCATGGGTTAATGGATCAAGAGATGAAATAATATTGTTTTTTGCTTGAATCCATTCATTTATTTGCCACTTTGCTCTTAAGTAATGTTGTACTAATGCTGGTTTCGAAGGTGGTAATTTTTCATTACATGTATTTTTTTAATGCAATATTATATCTTAATTTATTTATGGATTTATAATATTTTTTAAACTTATTTTGAGGGTCATACAGTTTAGATAAAAATAGAGTCAAAACTGTAAGTCCTTCATCTAAAGGTAAAGTAGGCAAATTTCTTAATTTTTCCAATTGACTATCAGTTAATTTCTGCAAAGCTTTATAAGCCTTCTTTTTTCTCATATCATAAAATGAACTTGTGGTATCACAACTTGTTATAGAATGCATTATTAGGATACTGTTGCACATTATTTTTCCAATTTCTTTTGCAATTTGATGTACAGGTATATATCGAGAACGATCCACATTTTTTACAATATTTCCTGTGTGAAACCATAAAAGTGGTTTACATGTAAAATCATGATAATGAGATAAAAGTAAAATAAATATATCTGTGTCTGGTGATTTAACAATAATTTGTTTAATAAAACAAAAAGTCGAAAAGATTCGAGCACCTACAGCACCTCAACCGTTGTACACGCTTAGCGGGATACTCTCGAAAGGCATATTCGAAATATTTGGGTCCACGTTTTTAGCGAGATAGAAACCATTTATCCTTGTCAAAATATTCCAACTCATACTCGACGGTTTAAAGATTATAAAGCTATTTGTAAAATTGGAATTCATTTAGTAGTTTTTTAGAAGAAAAATCCCAAAAATCACTAATTAAGGCATTTTTTTCAACAAAAAAAATGCAAATAACTTGAAAAGGAAGCATTTTTCGAAAAATTATCAAGAGAGAAAAAGTGTTTATTTTGTCGAGATACACCTAAAAAAAATTGATTCCGAAACAATTCGGTGAAATTGCTTTTTTGTATAAGTTATTTGTTAATAACAATTGCCGGCCCACTTGTAAAAATGAAAAAGAATACATTTCATCTTGGAAAAATATATAGAATCGAATAAAAAAGGTTTGGTGCATTAGAAATGCAAAAAGAATTTTAGTCGGTTGATGCTCTGCTTATAGGGGTAAACCGCTCGCCTAACAGATGAGATCCTGAAACTAATGGACGAGATAAGGAAAGCCGAAAATGACACAGACAAATATAAAGCCATAAATATATTAATAAGAACGAAAATCAGAGAAGCGAAAGAAAAAGAAGCAAGGGAAAGATGCAAAGAAATTGAGACTCTGCAGTCAAAGTACGATAGTCACCATGTACATAAGAAAGTTAAAGAACTCACATGGGG